ACTCTCGAATATCAGGCAGCGGCTGCAACGATGAAGCTTTGGGCTATCTTCGACCTAAATAGTACTTCCATTGCTTCCCTGAAAAAGCTCAATGCAGGGAATTAAATATTCGTGAGGCATAATACGGCACTCCCATCCAGTGACTCAGTTCAAATGGGGCTCAGCGTGGCAGTCGACACCTTCAGCAAGAAATGACGCAGTATATGTCTGACGAGACTTTCAAGAGCCAGCTGTTGCTCAAAATACTCAAGGTCAATAAATGGGACAGGTGGCAACAGTAAGAACTTGAATAACCTTCTTCCTTTTGTTTCTTAATTGAGGAAACTATTGTTGAAAGTAACGCCACAAAAGTAACGGATTACTTTTTGGGGTAACGGTCACTTACTTTTATGAGAGGGTAATTGTAATAGTAAAAAATTACAATTTACCCTTGGGTAATTGTAACTGTAATTCCTTACAATTTTTGAGTAACGTGTACAAGTCTGGGCCCCACTATGTAACGTTATTAGATTTTTTTTTCAATAAGAAGGCAGAAGCAGGGCGGAAAAAAATCACCCGACCTCCTATAAAGCCACGCAATGTGTGTAAACAATCTACAGAACTGTTACCAAACATGCTGTTTGACAAAGCATGCGAGCATGACCCAGCTGTTTACTCTAAATTATTGAAGGCCCAGTAGATTATGCCGGGAAGTTTTATGTTTATACGAGTATTTTCGTCACGTAGAGTCATCATCAAAATGTTCTCGTTAAAAAAAAAAAAAAGGAACAGGAACCGCACGGGGGAAAAGGCAATCAGTGCGAGTGCGCCGACATAAATGCATCATTTCACCACACAGTACACAAGAACCGAGTAAAGCATGCATAATTCCCTTCACAAGCCCTCCATATAAGCCTTCACAAGCCCCTCTATACTTGCGCGCCATCTATCCCCGTGCGAGTGAAGCGCGCTCGATGGGCCGAACATAATCTGGTCGCCGCGTGAGACAGAGAGTCATCACCTAAATGCATCTTCCACCGTGATCACACCTCACTGGCAGTCGACATCTTTGCGCTGATGCCATGCACATATCATTTTGTCTGTTGAAGCCGATGGTTACTTATCTTCGGCCATAATCTTTTTAGTTTATCTGGTGCCAATAACACAACGTGCGCTTCAAACCTTGAGGCTATCTTCTTTAGGTTTGTGTGATAAACGATGAATGTACGGCAAAATAACTGGCCGGCGTTTTTTGTTTTTTTTTCCTTCTTGCTGTCTCGTCTTATGCTTGTTGTGGGTAAATATTCATCCAATGCTGCTTGGTTTGGCGCTATCTAGTGACTGAAGCAAGGAACATAGGGCATGCCTGAAAGTGGCTGCTGCATTGTTCCAACGGGAGCAAACGGCCCTGGCGGGCCAATCGGAACGTAACTATGCGTATCACCGGAGCTCGCTTTTACTGCGAAGAAGTATCATGCTTTTCGCTGCGTCAAGCTCCAATACATGTGCGTTGGGCTTGTATTCGTAGCGCATATCGGGAAGCCGTCGGCACGCAATGTGGGGCTTATCGTTCGCCCTTTGCCAAGTTACAACGAAACAGGGTATAACCTTGGGCTCTCACTCTACTGGCGCCGCCTGGATGACGATTGCAAGCGAGGTGACTGGCCGCCGCCATGTCTCTGCTCGTACGGGCCCGCCCGTGCGATTGCAAGCTTGCCAGAGCTACGTTCACGCGTAAGTTGCACGTGCTTGCACGCATGGTGGACCAGTCGGGGCACCATGCTTGCAATTGTCTATAGGATGGAGCTCGGGTAACCGGATGTATTAAGTCTGTGAATTTTAGCGTTAAAACTCTTCTCTGTTTTATCGACACAAGATTTCTTTAAAAAGAAGAATCGTGAAAAGTTTCCTGAGTGAGTCCTTAAGGAAACCCTCTGCTCATGCAGCAGAGAATAGTTTTAATGCTCGAGTTCAAAGACAACGATTACCCGAGATCGGTCCTTCATAACGTCGCTGAATGTTTATTCACAACAAGCATAACACGAGACAGCAAAAAGGACAAGAAACGCCAGGCAGTTATTCTGCCGTACTTTCATCGTTTATCACACAGCCTAAAGAAGATAGCCTCAAAGTTTGAAGTCCAGGTTGTATTATCGGCACCGGATAAACTAGAGTCTATGCCCGAAGATAAATAACCATCAGCTTCAACAGACAAGATGTGGTGTGCAACATCAGCGCAAATATGTCGACTGCCAGTGTGGTATATACGAAATATCGTTTACCTGCGAAAAGTGTATGTAGAACAATCGTGGCGGTGTGTGAATAAATGTTAAGAGAACATGCTTTAACACTCAAGTCTACACCAGCGGGACACCTTGCTGTGCATGTAAGCGATTGCAAATGCACACGTATGCTTGGCGAGACCAGAATCCTAAGACGTTTTAATGAAAAAAGAACTCGAGAACTGTACGAGCCGCAAGTCATCTTGTCCAGAGGTGATGGCTGCATTAGCCCACCATCAGTGGCATTATCATAGAAATAATTTTATTGCCTTATTGTTTAGGTAATTTTATTTTCGGTAATATTTTTTGTTTTGTTTTTCTTTGGGGGTGTATTTTTAATATTAATATTAATAAGTTTCTGTCTTTTTCTTTTTTAATAAGGATAGTATTGTTTACTTCATCTTTTTCTTTTTTTTTTCGTTTTAAGGATAGTATTATTTACTTTATCTTTGTCTTTGTCTATAGCATTAGACGTCAGATGTTAGTAGCGCACTGTCCTGTTCCCTCTATTTATGTTTCCTCGCCGTGTCGCGCTATCCCATATAATAGGTTTACTCGCGACACGTGAAAAAACTCCTTAGTTTTACTTCTGGCACATTTGATCAAATCTCCTCAATAATTATACATGATTCATCACACTCATTCAAAAAGGGCCAATGAGGCCACAAACCTTGAGTACCAAAGTGGAAACGAAACTAATAAAAGAGAATAATATTTTAAGGCTAGCTCTTCCGTTGTGCAAGCGGAGTGGACTACATCGTACACTACAAAATTTCACTAAATATTAGTAGCAATTTTTAATATAGTATGTTAACTGAGCAAATCATGTCACCCGAAAAGGGTTGTTCAGGTGTTAGTTTTCACTACCTCCGTATTTGCCGAAAAAAATATTTGATCTTTTAATTGGCCGGCTACCGTTTTCCAGCTTGTCGGGTGGGTCTGGAACAGCATTTCAATTGTGCGTGGTCAAATAAACACTATATGCTACACATAAAAAAAAAAAAAAAGATTAGGTTTAGTCTCCGATTTTTACAGGTACGGAATTATAACCAGTAATGGATGATTTTGGCTTAAGTGATGTCAGACTGCGGCTGCGGATTAAAATACGACCGAAAACTTTGCCGCAGAAGGCTAGCACACGTAAAAGTTCTCATCACCAGCCAGCCAAAATGAAGCTGTGTTGAACCATACCGTCTGCGACTGTGCCTTCTGCTGACGCTTGTTCGCTCGCATAGACTAGTGTGGTCACGGAGGCCAGAAAGGGGCGAGAAGGCACCGGAAAGTTCAGGGAGTGTAAATGAATTCCTTCCAAAACACTTGTTTCCTCGCGGAACGACAATTGCATAGCGCGAGGAAGGAAGGGAGAATGGGAGAGACGACAAGGCTTGCAAGCACTTGGGTGCATTATCTTAATTTCATTAGGCGCAGTGGCTGTGTACTTGTCCATCTCGTTGAGTGACCGACGTCTCTTCAAAACGATTCCGCTCACAGAGTTGGCGTTGTTCGAGACCGTCTTGTGCCAGCTGTTCGTCAGAGGAGAGCTGAAATATTTATGGCTTGAAAACCACACAACGTTGGGCAATTGCGGTGAAAATCCACGTCATTGTTTTATTGGTGCTTGACTTGTCGCTGTATTTGGAGGTCGACTGTCGCGCGTGGTACATTTTCTCGCGAAAGTACGAATAGACCTCTTGTAAAAATCCCAAAACGCCGCGCGCAAAGTCGTGTACGCTCCTCCTTGCCCCCACGTGACACTAAAGAGTGCAATAGGGTATCGCGCCTCTGTCGTCTGCTACAACCTGTTGTACCTTGAGTTCCCAGCATTCCTTTCGGCGCGCCGCTGACGGCACTGCACGCTTTACAGCAGGTCTATTCTGTGGTCTGCCGAGATGCCTCTCTCCGTGCCATTTGCAACGGGCACCCACACCCGTAAAGACGACTTTTGCTGCGATTGAGCGGCCTAAGGAAAATACTGTGAGGAAATACGCATTTATGATTAAAAGAGAATAGGGAAAAATTACGCAGGCATTGCTTCTCCGACAGGGTCCTGATCCAACACTTGGCACCTATCATGCAAAAAAAAAAAAAAATCAAGACCTCATAATTACCTGACATCAATTCTACAGGAGGGCTGCATAAATATAAATAATATAACACCGGCGGTTGTCTTCCTAGAGCTGCCGGTTTTAAATCAAAACCGTGTTGGCGGCCTATAATTACATTTGCTCGCACTCAGCATACACTTTTGCAGGTTTTCCGCGGTCGTCTTCAGCACGTGCGAAATACTGCCGCGCAGTGTGAAGCGTGGCGAACGCGGGGGTGTGCATTTCGAAGGCGACGGCGGAGTAGGCGAGCTGGGCTGCCCGAGAGCATTACTCACGCCGCTCGCGCACCCGTTTCCCCGCGCGCGTTGTCTTGCCGCTGTCGCCTTGAATAATTAATCAAGCAGGGATTGCGAAGCCGCAGACAGGAGTCCCCGCGGTGGAAAAGAACATTATCGGGATGTCTCACTTTTCTGGGAGAAAATGCGTCGCTTCCCCCGTCCTCCGGACATTCTAATGAACTTGTACGGTGTCAGCGGGACTTTACGTGGATTGCCTTTTCCCTGATTGGTGCCGGCTCGTAGAGGTTCTACCAGCGCGTCAAGAAGGGGAAGGGAAAAAGCCAATCAGTGCTGCGCGAGATGACGGAGGCCCACTGAACCCGATCCGTGCTATAAAAGCCGGGGTTCGGAACTCTGACTCCAGAGTTGGGACCGCGAGTTGCAACGATCGTGGTGTCTAGTACGCTCATCTTCGGAGTCGACCCAGACGTAGCCTTCCGGTCCATAGGTGAGCATTCATTTGATTTCACAATTTAGTTTGACTACGCGTGGTGGCCAGTGAAGGGGACGTTATTGTGTCGCTCTTGACCCTTGACACGTATTGCCTTGTCAGTAGGATTAAGACTGTGTGCTCTGTCGCTACCTGCAAACTGAGCTTTCGATGCGCCAAGCTGCTTTTTGAGCCCCAGATTTAGCACAAGTGGTGCGTTCTTCGGGGTTCGAATGAATCTGATATGACAGTTCTTGGAACCTGTTTTGCGTGCTAGTCGCTTTCATGTGATCGGTTCTCTCATGTGATCGCTTCTTTTGTGAGAACTTTTCTTTCGTGGCGTACTGTGTGGTTAGATTCGTCATGGTGTTTGCAATGCTTGCTTGATATAGCTTTTATCCTTGATTGTGATGCTATGTAAAATGTTTCAGACAAAAAAAAAAAAAAGACGTTGGTATTACGTGTTAGTTCTTTCTGTTTAGGTGATAAATTGTGATAGATAATTGATGTAAGTCAAGATTGCCAGATTAGTGAGTTAGTCGTCGTGTCACGCTACTGATGAAGATGCCCAGCACTTTCCGTGCCAGTGAGTGATATCGCGCGGGACCATATTTCCAAATTTACCCGAGGTTTTTAACCAGCTTTCGAACGGTTGGTGTAATATCTGACGGAAATATTCCGTTTGTTTTGCCAATCACGTCCAGGGTCCGAATATACTGTGACGTTTATCTAGCGTCAGATCAGTCTGGCTTGAGATGTCGCTCCTTATTTTACTGCCGTGAAAGCACACTTTTATAATTTATTAATGTACCCTAGATTAATTAAAAACATTATAACCTGTTGTTCGCGAAGGCACAGAGCCTTATTGCACCAGCTTACAGCCGTTACTACTTTGCAGGCTGTCGCCGCGGTCCATGTCAATTGTCTGCCAACGTTATTTTTTCGTCTTTCCACTTTTTTTTTTTGCTTCCCTTCGCAAAGTTTTACTGCCCTTTGCCTTACGATGTTCCATTGGACGTGAACTTATCAGTGTACATGCACAGACAAAAGAGTATCCTGCTTAGATATGATTCGTCACTCAAATACGAGATACCGAGATATTCGAATTCAATTGAATTTGAAGGTTGTTTCATTTGGGCAATTTAAATTAGGTTCAATGTCAGGACGGACATTTCCCCAAAAGCGTAACTGCGATACTCAAAAGTATAACTGGCAGCTGAAGAAACTCAGTGTGTGGTGGCTTATTGTCTTCTTGTGTATATATGCATATATGCCCAAAATTGTATACGTTTCCACACACACATGTGTATAGATGCGGATTGTTGGAATGCGCTATGAGAGCCACTGACGACATAAGAAACGCAGGGCACGGCTTACTGTGTTCGCTTTTCTGCGTATTTACCTTCTAATGCTGCAATCTCATTGGCTGAGGGGCGACACTCTGAAGACTTGCCAGAACCTGCAGTTCTTAAGCTGTCCGCGGCTAGAGCTGTTGATGTTGCGATTTTACCTTGGCCAATCTCAGAGAGCCGATGGTGGGCCTGTGTTGCAGAGATGTAGGGATGTTTTGATTCGCTTTGTGGATTATCGACGTGACAAATGTTGCCGGCACTATACCGGCATTAGCGAGGAACAATTCAGGTGGAGGCCGCCATCGAACTTAATAATGGGTAAACTCAGTTTATAGACTAGAGTTGTGTAGTCGCGATTTCAGGAATTGTCCCTACTCGCTCGTATACGCCTCTGCGAAGCACATGGTACGCATTTGATTGCAGTCTATAAGAAGTAAAATGACGAGTTAAATTTTTCTATTAATTTTTTTTTTTACGAGAATAAGTCATCCGTTAGAACTGAACACTTGTTGCGTGGTGGATGACATATGTTTAGGCCCATAAGTTATGCCAGCTCCTCCGTTGTAGGCTTTCTGTGATCTCGCCACAGAACTGCGTCGCAGCAGCACCTAACTTCTGTCTAGGAAGTTTCTGCGGGCTGTACGAGGGAACCATATACGTGTGAAAATATCTCGGAGTGTAACCAGTGCGGCGAGACGGGCTGAGTGTTCGTTGTTGTTCACGAGCCTCCGTCTGCTCGACCTGCAGCCATGAGTCACTACCTGGGCCTATCCGCGGTGCTGCTGGTGTGCCTCGCTGTGACTGCCTACTCGCAGACCTTCCAATACAGCCGTGGATGGACCAATGGCAAGCGGCGGGTGGCCGAAATGCCTCTCGTCGGAGTCCCCCTCCGTGCTTCCAACGATCACCGGGCCCTGGATGAAGTCCTCTCGAAATTCGTCAGTTACTTTGCCACCTCTCTGATTACAATCGTGACCTCGCAATGCCAGCGCTCGGTCGCTTCATGAGCTCGAGTTTATTTTACTTGTCCACTTCCATATACAAAGCGGCAAGGAAGCCATCTCAGTCGGTTGCTTTCCGCGGATTTTCGGCGTACGTAAACGCCAATCGTGAACGCGTAGCTCAAGTGTCGTCGAAGCTGGAGGTGACGGTAAGGAACTTGAGGTCTGATAGTCTTAACGAGGAACTGTAATCAAATGCTGAAGACAGCCCATATGCATGTGAACAGTAAATAAAACGCCTTTCCACGTGGAACTTCGGAAGGCCTTGAGTTGGAGGCCGCTAATTAGCCGGCAAATCAGCTTAAGATTCTGGCAGTTCACGGTTACATAGCACGCGTTGATTCGTTGATTCTCTAGCTGCCTTTGATCTAAAAACTCGAGACCTTTAAAATTATCTTGTGATAGGTGTACTTGAATGAGTTGGGGTACGAAACGCTCACGCTCGCTCGCCTTTCCAGCGGAGGGGAAGGGTTGCTCTTCCAGAATTGGTTGTATGCCCACGTTGCATGCTGGAAACTGAGATAGCATATTGGCACTTCAGAATTAAGGGATAACCAAGCATTAGTGCACCCATCAAAATAACATTGAACAAATTTATATATCACGATTTGATATCCTTTGAGAAATTCAGCTTTATTCTGATAAGACCAAGCAAATCGGAGCACACATGCACACATATTAGGCATAGTTGGTCTTGCGTAATTGATGCGTGCCACAGTTGTGACAATAATAAACACTTGTGTTTTATTTCCAGACTCCCCGGGATCGGATCGTTTTGGAGAGGCTAGGCCACATGGTGAGGGTACTTGATCACGCCGAAGAGGAACAGCAGGAATGTACGTAAACGTAAAAGATTAGTCAAGCGGGTCGTTCTTGCAGTTAACTACGACACTTTCACAACGCCTTGTCCTGATCTGTGGGCGTTTTCTCCGCTACCCTCTCGTAGAGGTTCTTATTTATTTATGCCACATACTGTCAACCCTTGCGGGTCATTACAGGAGGGGCATTTACAACATGTAGTTATAAAAGTATGACCCAGACGTCTGATTCTACGAAGTAACAGATTGATATTTTGTTGTTGTGGTGAACACATTGAAATGGTGCACCTCGGGAAGATGAACCCAAATAAGTTTTGTAGTAACTCTCGGTAGCCCTGTGACTCGCTTGACATCTTAAACAAGAAATATAGCTGCAATGAAGATGAGTGTGATCAAGCAGCCGTTGAAGAGTGTCCGCACATTTCAACTTGAGTCTTTTCTGTGTTTGTAACACGTAATCAAGACATGAGACTGTGTCACATAAAAAAAAAAAAAAAAACGAAAACAAGGATACTGTAGACATTTTTATCCGAGAGAGTGGGGACAGAAGGAACAACCACAAACACAGTTGTGTTTGGGAATGTCCCTTTCCGCCTCTACTTTCCAGGATCACCAAGCAAGCTCGCCTGCATTCTCGCTTTAACTTCAAAGAATTTACTCTGCCGTTTATTTTATCTTTCTCGATTATTGAAGACTAGGTAGGGAGAAGGGAAGCTGCTGAACGGTGACCCAGCCACAAGTACTCTGCTGGAGGATCTAACGGCCCGGGTCTGTGCGCATCGCCGTGGAGTTTCAAGAACAGGACCCTTATGCAACGTTGCTTTCACTTTGCCTTCCTGTTGAATAAATGTTTCCACGATCCTACGCTTCTTCCTTTTCGATATATGTAAACCTCATGAAGACGTTGGTCACAAGAAAGTGTGCCAAGGTAACGCATTATCATTGAAATTTATGTATATAATATTATATCTCATTAAATTGATGAAAAAATGGACGAATGTGTACGGTACCTACATGAACGAGTGTACCTGGACAGATCACAGAGATTAAACTTAAAACTGCCCTGACATGTGCTTCCGCAGGGCACGCAGGTTCAGAAGGGTCAGACATTGGGTAACCGCCTCCGAGGCCCTTTTTTTAAAATTATTTTCTTTATTGCAGCGGAGCCACCGAGGCGACATGTGAAAAGTGTGGAGAGGGAAACCAGAAACCAACTGCCTCTGTTTTAGTTGCTTGACACGAAATGTTGTATCTACGCCACCAAACCTTTCTCGGGTTTTGCCATGTCACGGCATCGCCTCCTTTTTGAATGCCTTCCACACATCTTCTCGCGATAATCAATTAGAAATGCCTGCCGAGTTAAAGTTACAATTAACAAAATTAATAGCAGTTCACGACACTTTTTTTTCCTTTGGGGGGGGGGGGGGGGGGGTTAAAATTTAGTAGAATGCAGAAAACAAAAAGAAAAAACCTTTTCATTTTTTTTAACACTACGCCCGTTGATGGTTCTTTTTTTTGTAGTTTTAGTTTGAGTTTTTGTTTCTGTTCCATCCACCATATTTGTATGCAACAAAAGAGCTTGTGAACATAATAAAACACACGGCTAAAACGGATGTGCGCACCCGAATTAAATGATGACACTTAAATTCTGACGTGTATTGAACTTTTCTCGGGAGACTGCATACTGCCGCACGTAGTCGGGGCACGAAACTTCCTTTGCTTTCCATTATTTTCACGGGCGCCCAAGTTACAGTCGGTTTCTGGGAGAAGCAAACCGTTGGCCGGAAATTGAGTAAGGGGTGAACGGGAGGCCGTTCCACTCTTCCGGCCCGAGTTTTTCGCTAATGTGGTCAAACTCCGTGCTTTGTAAATTTGAAACGTCGAGTTCTCGGCTGCCTTCCTTTTTGAGCGGCAATTCCCGCTTTGTTTTGTCTCTATCTTTTTTTTAAAATATATATATATATATATATATAGTGGGCATGGAGGGGAATGGCTAGGGAATACGAGATAGGGGGTTTTGGCCACGCAGGCGGGTTCAGTCCCGCCGCGGTGGTCCGATTTGTATTCCAAGTTGACTCCCGGTCTCGTCTATTCCATCGCGCCCGTGGCTTTCATTTCGAGTGATGGGGAGCGCCAACTGAAGACTCTGAGCGACCAAGAATTCTAGCCGACTACCAGTAAGTCGGCAAAAGAATACGAAATCGTCAGTATCGTGCCTACGTGCTATTCAGATGTCGCACGAATGAAAATGAAAAAAAAGAGAAAGAAGACGTATTGATTAAATTCAAAATTAACTAACGTATTTCAAGAAAAGGTATACAGGCGAGTTGGTTAAGACACTTGTTTCTACCTCTTCTGCATAGCCGTGTTTCTAGCTGTGTTTGTAGAGTTCAGTGAGGGGGATCGGTGGCCGTGTGTGTTAACTCACCGCAGCACGAAGCACGCGGAGCGAAAGCTCTTGCTGCAGATCCCATGGATCCCGAGTTCAATCCCCACCCCTACCCGTTTCGAGCTGAATGAGCATCGTTCCTGGCTTGCGGTCGTGTATCACTAGTGCGTGATGCTCGTTAAAGACCACAGAGTAGGGGTTGCACTGCACTGGCTAAACTTATCCTCTACAGCTGAGACACGCCTCAACCTCCGTATATTCGATCAGAGGATCTCTGATGTTATGCATTCTGTTCCTGTACATTCATAACACATATAGCGAACGCCAAAAAGACAAGGTTTAGTGGTGTAGTGGTTAGCACATTGGGAGGCCGCGAGTTGAAATCCCCGCGTGGCCAAACATTCTTACTTATGGCGGTTTCGTAAAACTTTGATTCATTCGACCAAGTACGGTTAATTTATCCTCATATATATATATATATATATATATGTATATATATATATATATATATATATAAATATATATATATATATATATATATATATATATGGGTGGTTTCATCTCAAATCGTGCAGGCAAAAAGGGTCGAATTTTTAATTTCGATGAAAAAAATATATGTTATGGCGCCGTTTCTAAAACCGCAGTCGACACAAACCGCAAGTTCGTCGGATTTTTTGTTCTCGACTTATGAATTTTTAAAGAGGCCGCGGCGAAAAGCAGTGTTTTTCACACCCGTCGTGGGTCGGATGTTTCGCTTGATCTCCCGCCATGGATTTTCAGTCCTAATTATATTATCTTTTTTGAAGCACCCTGTGGACACATTTAAAAGGCTCCAATACCATGAAATATTTTTAGGCCTTTTGCTTTTTTTTCTGTAAAAATGTCAAAAACCCCTCCTCGGTCAATTGTTGACGAACTTTGACAATTAATTACTGGCGATCTACTTGGGTTACACCGATATTTTTTATGTCCACGGAGAGCCCAAAACACGGTCTTTATATTTATTATAAAATTCCTTGGCTGTATAAAATATCCTTTGCGGTACGTTTACGTTAATATTATGCAAAAACCAAAAAGTACCATTTTTGAAATTGATTTTCTCAAAAAACCCATTTTTTATTTTTTTTATTTTTTGTTCAAATGTAGATATGATAGTTGTCTACACAAAAATCAAGCCTAGAAGGTGTATATTTTGTTTGTATGTTCTACATTTAAGCATCAATATCGTACAAAAACGTGTTTTTACGGCTCGAAGTGGACTTGCGAATTGCGCGTCTTCACAAGCTTGGAAATAGTTTTTTTCTTTTTTTCAACGTTCCCACATAAAAATGAAATACAGTATTTCCACCCTGATATATTTATTGATTATTTAAATTTTATTGTAGGCGGCAAGCTACATCGGAGGAGTTCCAAAAAGAGAAAGCAACACTTCTTAACACACCAGCAGGTGTCGTAAATTTTTAACGTGTAGGAGTCGGCAGACGTCTTATTGATTCGGGGCCCTCATTGGCCTGCATGAACGTCCCGCCCTTTCGGAGCCAGCAGATGACCACGACCTTTCGCGCTCGTTGTGTTAGATGGGACGGCCCGTGACAGTAAAGCGAGCAGCGCACCCTGTGTCACCAAAAGTGAAATGGTACGATTGTGTCGTTGACGCGGCGAACAGTGACAGCCACCCAGGAGGAGTCTGTCAGAGTATTGCACAAGGGAAAGCAAAGGAATCGTTGCCTGAAAGGATGAGGACACCACGGTCTTACAATGTCGACGGTCAACAACTGTTCTGCCAGCCAAAACAACGCCGCGTGCGCGCTAAAACCGGCGGCGCGGGACAGAAATCGCGCAGACGCACACACGAAGATGGGCCGGTTTCGTTAGGGATGTGGGGAAATTTAAAACCAGCCATCCGTGCATGCGTGAAACGATACCGCATGTTTGCCCTAGCATCGAGCGCCCTATCCTTACCTTGAAACTGCCGTGCTCTCTCTCTCTCTCCGGGGAGATCCGATAGCACCGAGGGGTTATCTATTAAACTTGAGGAAGAAAACGAGAAGGGAGTGTTTAAGTTTAATTATCCCCACCAACCCGCTCGTTCTGTCCTTATAAAGGGTTATCTCTTTTGGAAACAGCAAAGCCCGGAGACTGACATTAAAACGAGCGTGTTGGTAAATATACTTGTGTTTGTATTCTGCCCGGAGACTAGTAGGGTCGAAGTCAGCCTCTTTGTCAACTATAACCGTTTGTGAAGAGTGGGCTTCTCCCGAGATGAAACGTTAGCGCCAGTTGACGTGTTCTTTTGAAAAAAGGGAAGGGGAAAGAGAAAGTTTGAGTAACTGCAGAAACTACCTCGAAAGCTCCTCTCCCGATATGAAGCTTGAAGCATAGTCTCGGTTACCTTCTCGCGCATCTCCTGCTCGAATCTATTCTTCACTTTCTTTCGCACAGCCACTGTTCCGCACAGGTGCCGTGGATGTGCGTAATAGAGGGAGGAACAGATTTGAACATCATCTGGACGCCGTCATCATGCCAGACTTCAATGTCGTGGGACCGACTCGTGTGTGTTTCTTCGCAACGCTGAACTTTGTTTCTCGGGTGCAATTTTTTCTGAACGTTTTTTTCTTTAATGTTTTCTTACTAACTGTTTGTTAGCACTGTTCAGTTGTTGGGTTTATTTCGTCATGGCGTAGCGGCTTGGCGGTGATGTAGAGATCGTGTTCGCACGCATTTGGTTGCGTCCCGATGCCCGGAGCAGTTGGTTTTTGTTCTTGCCATGTGCGGCTTAGTTTTCCCGTCTTTATTAAATTTTTTTTTGTTGTTTTACCTTTACGTGTCGTCGACTTCTTTGTCAGACTCTCCACCAGGTGTGGACCTATCGCCTTGCCACCGCTGGAACCTAAACACTTTATTTTTTTTTTTTACGCAATTTTCGTTAAGATCGGAGTTGGGCAATTTAATTCCTATTTATTTATTTTTATTTCCTACCCCTCTCCATGACACACTCTCTGTGTGTTTCGGACCGTTTCTGTGTCACCACTTTTGTGTATTACGGAAGTGAAAGGACATTCCCTGGTGACCTGTGGGATGTGCAGTGAACAAGCCCCAGTGTTTGGTTTCGTAAAAAATTGTATATAATATATCGACGATGTGGTGACTTTCTTTGTCTTAGTAATATGACAGCTAATAGCTAGTCGTGCTAGTTTACTTTGAAAGGTTTATAAATCGAAACAATACAACGTCTGTGCCTTTTGGTTATTGAAAGTCTACCAGGTCTGCTGATTTGGTTAGATATGTATCTCATGGTTCGCGCTCTTATCCAAACATACATAAATATTCAATACCACAAAATCCGTTTATAATTGATTACAAAAGGCAGAAGAAAATTCAAGAAAACTTTTTCACAATTCATAGAGACGCATGGGTCGCTATGTCTGACTTAGGTCTTGCAAAACAAAGACGTCTTTTTCCGATATTGAGGCCTAAATATAAAACATGCAAACAAAATATACACTTTCTAGGGTTGATTTTCGTGTAGACAACTATCATATCTACATTTGAAAAAGAAATAAAAAAATAAAAAATGGGTTTTTTGAGAAAATCAATTTCAAAAATGGTACTTTTTGGTTTTTGCATAATATTAACGTAAACGTACCGCAAAGGATATTTTATACAGCCAAGGCATTTTATAATAAATATAAAGAGCGTGTTCTGGGCTCTCCGTGGACATAAAAAATATCGGTGTAACCCAAGTAGATCGCCAGTAATTAATTGTCAAAGTTCGTCAACAATTGACCGAGGAGGCGTTTTTGACATTTTTACAGAAAAAAAGCAAAAGGCCTAAAATTATTTCATGGTATTGGAGCCTTTTAAATGTGTCCACAGAGTGCTTCAAAAAAGATAATATAATGTGGACTGAAAATCCATGGCGGGAGATCAAGCGAAACATCCGACCCACGACGGGTGTGAAAAACACTGCTTTTCGCCGCGGCCTCTTTAAAAATTCATCAGTCGAGAACAAAACATCTGACGTACTTGCGGTTTGTGTCGACTGCGGTTTTAGAAACGGCGCCATAACATATATTTTTCATCGAAATTAAAAATTCGACCTTTTTTTGCCTGCACGATTTGAGATGAAACCACCCATATATATATATATATATATATATATATATATATATATATATATATATATATATATATATATATATACCGGGTGTTTCTGCGAAGACTTTCAAAAATCCTAAAAATTAAAGCGTCAAAAAAAAAAAAGCTTTCTTTGGGTACAAACTACCAGCCACGGCGGACGTCAGGAATTGCCAAAAACATAGTAATTAGCCAACTAATTAATTAAAATTTGTTAATTAACTTTTTAATTAGTGGAAATAGACATATGGTTTTAATTAGAAAGTTGCTGAGCGTTATCGAAAACCACTAAATCAGTCATTTTCAAAAAGACTTTCGGCGCGTGAGAAGCGTAGTATGGTACTAAAGTTACCACTCGTGGAGCAGGTACAAGGCTGGGGCGAGATAAGAGACGGAAAAATCGCGCGGGCGCCTTATCGCAACCGCTAGCTTTGTACCTGCTCAAAGAGCGGTAACTTTAGTGCGCTACTACGCTTCTCACGCGCTCAAAGTCTTTCTGAAAACGACTGATTTAGTGGTTTTCAATAACGCTCAGCAACTTTCTAATTGGAACCATATGTCTATTTCCCCTAATTAAAAAGTTAATTAACAAATTTTAATTAATTAGCTGGCTAATTAGTATGTTTTTGGCAATTCCTGACGTCCGCCGTGGCTGGTAGTTTGTTCCCGAAGACAGTTTCTTCTTTTTTCAAGCGCCCTAATTTTTAGGATTTTTGAAAGTATATATATATATATATATATATATATATATATATATATATATATATATATATATATATATATATATATATATATTGTTACGATTAAGACAACGAGAGTCGTCTTTATCGGGCCTCTGCTACGCGTAAGCTTTTTGCCAGAACTGGAGATTGAAGCTAACGAAAGCACACTGGGATTCCATTTCCCATGTATTTTGTCAATTAACGCAACGTGGGCGTTATTTTGTTTACATGCCACTACTAGAAGCTGGTTACATGACACATAAGCAGCGTCTCGGTGAGGATCATGATCCGAATTTCACCAGGGGGAGCTTCTTAAGCAAAATACAGAGGGGGTCGAAACTTGGGCAATAACTTGAGAACGACGCTCGTGTGAGACTTACAGCGACTGCCAACGTTCGCTGTCTTTCTGAGGTCACTAAAATCTTTTTTTTTTTAGGTATTTCTTTCGTACACACATGTAGTTATATGTAACGTCATATTAATAAGTCGCGCTTAGTCATTTCAATACTTCTCTTCTCGGGGACATCTTTCGGATGCAGTTCAGCAACAACCAAAAAATGTTTGGGTGCCTCAATGATGTAGAATTGGTCTCTCAACATTTTTTTGTACTATCAATAAATACTGTTAAGAAGTAACCACTGACGTTGATAGCTTGCGAAAACATCCATTTGAACAAGCGGCCACGTGATCTGACGCTAATTCTATACCGTCAGTGATCATCATAGTCATGCCCTAGGCGGCTAGGGTTTGGAAAGCAAAAGCTTGGGCTGAGCTTCAGATATTTTTAGAGTTGAGCTATTAACATATTTAATTGACATGAGCCGTTACCCGAATGTTTGACGATGCTCACTGTCGAGAACCCGAGCACTCGACTAGGTGTTATGAAAATCGCTTATGTCACGGTGTCACGTGACTCTCAGTGCAAAATCGTGATGTCATGCTACGTCACGCTGTCAACAAGGCTAATACATCTAGTGACTTCCTCAAATTAAATCGAGTTGACGCAGTCAGTCACGTGACGTCACGAGGTCACGTGACATTACTTGACAACATGTATTGACACCATGACGTCACGTGACAACGTGACACATGGTTAATCATAGTGCCAATACAAAAGCGCCACGAAAACCCACAATTTACCATACGTTGAAATTCTGTATATGACCATTTGAACAGATAGAAATACAGCCGCCAATTTTTTATTCCCATATGTTCATTTTGTGATACTAACAAAAAATAAAAAAATAAATTACCTTGAACCGTTTTGAACCGCTTACCGTTATATTTTTTTTTTTGGTTCGGTTCCGGTTCAGTTCCAAGATGGCGGCGAAGATTTCGGTTCGGTTCAGTTCCGGTTCGGCTAAAAATAACGGTTCTGTTCCGGTTTTCGGTTCGGTTAGGTTCCGGTTCGACACCCTGATTACAGCTGCTTGGACGCCGCCAGGATCGCGACCGACAGCAGCATGACACTTTTTTGAGGTCATCAAGCGGAATTCGAGGGACCAGTTTTTTGGACGCGGTAAACACACCAGTCGGAGACGCGTTCCAGGCACCATACTCTGCATGACACGTCTGTGAAGTCTTCAAGTGGAAATCGAGGGACCCCTTTTGAGGACGCGGTAAACAACACCGATCGGAGGTACTCACCAGGCGCCATGGCAATGAAGCGTCTTCTGAATAGACGCACACGCAAACGCAGAATAGGAAGCCAGCAACAACCGGTGTCATTTTCCGAATGCCGTCTGTCAACGCTAGCTTCAGGCTTCAAGCTAGGCTTCCACACAGACCGTGTTAAACACGGTCACCTGCCCCCCTACCCCCCCCCCCCCCCCCCCACACACACACACACACACACACGCACACACATACTTCGCTCCACTCCGCTCGGGGGAAATTGATTATAATTTCAGTCCCAAGTATGCACCAAGCCTCGTCGGAACCGTCAAGAGTTCGGCAAGCGACCACTTCCCGCTCTCAGCGTCGATCGTCGCACCAGTGCTTTCGGCTTTAGCTTGCGTTGCGGCGTTGACTTTGGCAGAAGGTATTCGGAACATAGCGTAGGCTGTTGCTGCCCTCAGACGCTGCGTTTGCGTATGCGTCCATTTATGAGGCGCTTCGTTGCCATGGTGAAGGTGACAATGGCAAAGGGACTTTACAGTTCGGAAGGAGACGGCATTTAAGTGCGTGCTTGGGCTCGTTTGTCGTGCTTTTTAATGAGCGGAACGTGAACAACAAGAGTCCGAAATAAGGATTTAACGCAGATGGCTGTTTTTTTTTTGTTTTTTTTTCATCGACTAATATTTTGACGAGCCTTGCACGAAACGCATAATTTTACACTAAAAACTTGGACTAAGTTTTTTTTTTTTCGTTTATAGGAGGCACCGTTCTACAAATTGAGAAACAGTAGGTATATGAATATGAAAAGTATGCCCTTTTTATGAACTTATAGTCGTCATTCTGAGCCACTACAATGAGTCGAAGTGAAATCAAAAAGTGTTTCATGGTTTTTTTAACGTTGGGTTCTTGACATTCAAACTAATTGCTTCGTACGCAGTCCATCCCTCGCGAATTCTCATTTGGAGATTTGCGACGTACCGTACACACGTGCAGAGAAGTTGCGCAAACAATTACTCGAGGTCGTGAAAAGCATAATTAATTTCGGCTCGCTGCGGGGTGATATATAATCAATTCAGATTCGCGCTTCGTGTCTTCATTAGCGTCGTGCAGTTCGGAGTGCGTCCCCCGCCAGTAGAATTTAGGATCACAGGGTCCACCTAGATTTACGAGAGCCCTATCAATTATTTACATCAACGTACACCCATTTAGCTTCCCAAAAGACGCGAAATCAATTTTTATGATTCCGCGCTGATTTGTAAATCTATTAACCAGTTCGACTTTTCTTTCTTTCTTTTTTCTTTTTTTATCGCGACGGGTAGAAAATGTATTTATACATTTTCTGACAGGAGCGAGCCCAGCCCTTACGCCAACGTGAATGAGATCGGCGCCAACTGGAACACGAATGCTAGCGTCTGGTCCGGCTTTGAATAAGTAAGACAGTTTTAATGCAATCTTTCCGGATGTCCCTTCCGACATGGCCCGGAGATCCTTTGCGCGCGGCCGTGCGTGTACTAGAAAGCCTAGCTGGGCCGTCGATCCTGTCCACGCTTTTTCTTTCTATTTCAGGGGACATTTCTAGATCCCGAAACGCACTGCTGCTTAGTATGGAGCGGCAACGCTGCCTCTGGAGATCTCGCGCACGGACCGTTGGCGATGTCTTCCTTTGTGGGCGACCAAACCGCCGACAGCCAATCAGGACGTGCTCTTCGCTTGACCGCCGGTCTATTTAAAAGGTGGCTTCGGACGCGTTTCCAGGTCACTTGAAACAAGCCCCCACTGAGGCAGCACATTGACGGCTGTAACGGTAAGGAGACTTATACTCATGGTTGGCTACCCATGTACATATGTTGTTTTTTTTCTTCGTCCTTGCGCTTTGGAATATACATGCTCAGGATACAGTGGGCATATGACTGTGTAACATCCACCATTTTATTGATCGTATAAAGCGGTGTACTGTTAAAAAAAAACAAAAAAACTGAATAATCTCCGCATTAAAGTCTGCCACTCCGGCTTGCAAGAGAAGTACGCTCCAGCCTTAAGTGGTACGCTTCGGCTGCAGGTGCTTGGTTCTTAATAACTAATGGCGTTACTGAAGAAATTAATACACCTTTCTTAGACGCCGGTTGTCGTCTTAGGTGGCGGAACGTCGAGTACGGGCAAGAAAAACCTCTTGCTGTCGTCATGCCATTGGAAAATGTTAATGTTTTAAGCGTAAATGTCTTTTTTTTCTTATATATACCGCGTAATATTTTTTATTCGAAACAGATTTTTATCTAAAGGCATCTTTACTGCTACGTGAATGCCGTTTTCTCTATATGTTTCTTGAGCTGGGCGGATACTTGAGGGGCGAAGAACCGTCACTCTCTGGTGAGTGATTAACTATAATTTGTTAATTAACTTTTAATTAGTGAAAATAGACACATGGTTCCAATTAGAAACTTACTGAGCGTCATCAAAAACCACTAAATTACCTCTTTTTAGATCGACTTGAAGCTCGTGGGAAACTCGTGGATACACCAAGGTTACCACTCGTGAAGCAGGCGTAAAGCAAGCAGTGGTGGAACGCGGTAACGATGGAATCACCCGCGTTCCGCCAACGCTGGCTTTGCGCCTGCTTCATGACTGGTAACTTTGGCGCGCCCCCGAGTTTCCCATGAGCTTCAAGTATTTCTAAAAAGAGTTAATTCCGTGGTTTTCGATGAAGCTCAGTAAGTTTCTAACTGGAAATTTGACGTCACGATGGCGCTTAAGACGAGGACAAAAGGGAGACAGACAACACGGAGCGCTACTTCAACTGTTTATTTTTGAAAAATTAGGGGGGGGACATATATACACTCACACCGCTTCACCTCAGCCAATCCCGGGCGTCACCGGCGCTCGCAAAAACGCTATCTCTTTGTCTAACAGGTGAATGGAGGCAACGCTGACACATTGTGCTCCAGACTGTTTTATCAAGGCTGCTTCTATTATTTCCCTGACCGTCTTATCCTTGTGACATGTAAGACGGTCAGGGAAATAATAGAAGAAGACTTGATAAAACAGTCTGGAGCACAATATGTCAGCGTTGCCCCCATTGACCTGTTAGACAAAGAGACAGCGTTTTCGCGAGCAACGGTGAGGCCCGGCAGTGGCTGAGGTGAAGTGGTGTGAGTGTATTTATGTCCCCCCTATTTTTCAAAAATAAACAGTTGAATTAGCGCTCCGTGTTGTCTGTCTCCCTTTTGTCCTCTTCTTAAGCGCCATCATGACGTCAAATTCCCAGTACCAACTAGCCCAACAATCTGCATTGTTTCTAATTGGAACCATGTGTCTAGTTTCACTAATTAAAAAGTTAATTACCGAATTATAGTTAACCACTCACCAGACAGTGACGGTTGTCTGCCCCTCGAATGTCCGCCGAGCTCGAAAAACATATAGTGAAGACGGCATTAACGTAGGAGTAAATACGCCTTTTTTAAAGATCTGTTTTAAATTTTAAAAAAATTCACCCGGTATATATATATATATATATATATATATATATATATATAACGGGGAAAAGTAACGGGTAATAAGTAAACTAACGGAGAAAGGTATAGGGATGCTTGCAAGAAATATATGGGTAGAAGGAAGCACAGACGCAGCAGTTGAAGGACGAAAAAAAAAAAAAAAAAACTAAAAACGTTTATTAACCACTTATGCTGGTCTTTCTCTTCACGTTCGAAATACGGCATTTTAGCTTACGCTTCTGCAGATTTAAAAATTGTAAAGAGGGTTATTGCGCTCTCCATGTCTTGGCTCTGCTTTAAAAAAGTCCTGTTTTTATTGTATTAAGAACAGCTTTAATGCTCAAATTCAAAGTCTCCGGTCTTCCGGGTTTCCCTGGCCGGTTTTCAGTAAAGTGGTGCGTGTCTTTGTTAAAAAAAGTAAATGGAGTAGTTAGTCCTAGGCGCGATGTTGAGAAAAAACGGGTGGTAGTGGTACCGTACTTACACAAGGTATCGCATAACATAAATTATGTAGCTCAAGACGTGGCGTACCACTTGTGTTTTCTGCCCACTAAAAAATGGCCCAAATTTGTTCAAAGGTTCATCTCGGCATAGAAAAAGTATCCAGACGCATGTGCAACAAAAAAACATGTCTCACCGTTTGTGCCCTGTCCCTCGTGCGTGACGTATAGCATCCCGTCGTCATGTGGTAGAACTTATATCGGACAAACTGGACGGTGTATTAACGAGAGGCTTCGTGAACATTACCTGTCATTTAGATCCAACGTAGGTGGTCACTTGCCTTTACACTGCCGAAATTGTTCGTGCAGTCCAACTCTGGCTAACACTACTATTATAGGTAGATACAACAGAAAACTTACCAGAGAAATTTATGAGGCGTTTATTATACAGGGTTTGGGGAGCGCTTTGTGAGTCGGCTATCAGTGGCTTTATCACAAAGAAATATCATTATTAAGGCGTTAAAAGTCTGAAGCTATCGCTTCGCGCTCCGGAGATCGCTAGCCATTGGCACGTGCCTGTATATTCTGTCATTTTCTTTCTTCTTCTCTGTCGAAGATACATTGATTTGTGAGTTTCAGCGTCTTTCCTGTCTTCCATTTTCTTCAACAGTTTCCTAACGTTGTTCACTGATTTTACTCATGTGTATTCAGTTCAAACCCCTCCTGTGCGCCGCCATTCTTTTCTAAAACCTACACCGTCCCGCAGTCGGCGCTTCAAGGAATGTTGCTACTTGCAAGAAGCTCTTATCTAGGGAATTTACACAGACCCGGTGGAATATGCGGGAGGTTGAAGTAGCTGCCACCTTACTGATCCACTTTGTTTTGTTCCATCATGCCGATTTGTCGACAAGGCTGGTGCTGGTGCGATGAGGCAGGGAAGCAATTCCTAATTGATTCAACACCGCGCTGTGACAACACCGCGTCTAGCGCTGAGGCAAGGCGTGCGAACTAAAGTTCCTGTACTTCGTTTCACCCTAGGTCTGAGAGGGGGCGATGCTATGAGTCGAACGGCCAGTCAAACAGTACAAAAAGCTCAACGTCATGGCGTGTTCTCTACGCTCGATAGGTTGAGCCGGCGGAGGAGCACGCATAGAAAGGCGCGAACACATGCTGGCCCTATCAACTGCGGAGAGCACGTCATGACGTTGCGCATTTTTTGCTGTTTGATTGGCTCTTTGGCTCATAATATTGACCGCGTTTGGACTTAAGCTGAAACCAAGTATAAATAAGAGCTTCGCACAAGTAGCGACATTCTTTTAAGCGCCGACTGCGTGACGGTGCAGGTTTTAGGAAGCGAATGGGCGGCGTACAGCAGAAGTCTGAACTGAATGACGGCATTTTGTTCAAGAGGAATGTGCTTTGTCATTTGTATTGGTTACCTGTAAAAAGAAGTAACAAGGGACTTTACTGCGAACCTCTTCTTCCATGGAGCGACATCACCATATAAGATGTCAATAAACCCAGCAATTGGGCCTGAGTTCGGCACCGCGCGCCCTTGAGCGCACTGACCAGACACGAACCCCGGCTGAACGCCGGCGCAGCGCTCGTATCCAGTCAGCGCCTACGCTCTTGATCTCACTGCGATGACGTGGAAATGGTGTTGCACAGGCTTCGACTATCTTAGTTGGCGTTGACCATGCCCACCGGTGATACGCGCTTCTTCTTACCGACGAGAAGTTTGCCTGTGCGCTAGATAAATGGTATTTTCTTTTGTCTTGTATCTGCTTGCAGGTGCTCGAATTTGCTTCGCAGAACCCTGTGAAAATGGCTTCGGTGTCGAGAGCCGCGCTGGTCTTTCTTTTGCTGGGCCTTTTGGTGGTCCAACACGCGCAGTGTCAGATCACCTTTTCAAAGAACTGGCAGCCGGGCAAACGAGGTGAAATGTGCTCCCAGAGGGAAGCCCAGGCCGTCATCAAGCTTCGCCAAGTTCTTTTAGTGAGCGGTTTTCTCAAATTCTAAGTGTAGGCCTTCTCTTGTTTGCCTCAATCGCACTATTTTGATGTGAATGTTCTCTAGCGGGCAGAAAAAAATCAAAGGGCTCAAAGGGGCACTGGACTCCAAAAAGGCATGTTTTCAAGTATTTCTATGTCACAAAATAACTCCCCCCCCCCCCCCCCCCCCAAGAAAGAAAATCGTTTCTATGTTTTAATTTAGCGCATCCCCCCCCCCCCCCCCCCCCCCCCCCCCTTACAGACACGGTTTCACGTTGATGAAATCTAAAAGGACTCGTTGCATAATGTTGGGGAATCTCGTCCCATGTTGAGTTTAAACTTTCGAGGAAGGGACGTTATTTTTGTTTTATAGCCTAACGGGCCTAACTCCCCTGTCTCCTTGTGCGCCCGTATCTCTGCGCTTGACTCGTTCACTTTATTTTCCAGGAGGAAGCTAAGCTGGTGGCTGAGTGTCGAATGTTCTACGCCAGTGACGGCGCTCCCGAGGAATGAGTCCACGCTCGTACGGATGAACAGCGGAAAATTGGCCACTGCTTCAGAGAGTGTGTCTACTTTCCTCTGTAACAGTGGTCCTTCGGAGTAATAAAGACGCGATATGTGATGCCAGCTCGCCCGAAACAGTAAATACCTCATATATCATAGCATGCCATGTGTTTATGTTGTATATATATATTTATATTTTATTTTTTTCCCTTTGGGTGTTCTTTCTGTTATATTTTTTTCAAATAAGACCTGTCTTTTTTTTAAATTATTTATTGAAACCTTTTCCAAATTGTAATGGTGTACGGATGTTTCTTACAATGTGTTCATAAAATAGTCGTAGTAAAGTCCAAAGTTTTCAAAAAAACAAAATGCTGGGTACGCTTATGTTCCCTCATATAACGATACTTTTTAATCTGCATGTTAGCTCTTACTGCATACAACGAGAAAGGGTGCTCAATTTTTTTGTTAATTGGTTATTAAGTTTTTAAAGAATACATACAGCACTAACTCGTGAGAGTCACATGTCCGTGCACTCAATGACACAACCGAAAAAAAAAAAAATCTTCTCGAAAATGTTGACCATTTCCTATAGCAGAAGGTTCCCGTATGTATTGTGTTCAGAAAGAAATTACCGAAGCTATTTGAGCGATAAAAATATCCAAAAGCCTTTGTTGTGCTGAAAAGCAAATCGGGTGCAAGAAGAACCCGTCTCTATTGATACCAGTCTCATTTTGACAAATGCGATGAAAACTCTTTTCTAAGGTTCACTGATATTGAAACCAGCATGGCTGTTATATTGATATGGTGATTATCAAGGGATTTAAAGGGAAGATGGGGCACTCCTGCATTTGAGAAAAAACGCTTGAATTGCGTTCATTTGGCCTTTAGATTAACAGATATCAAGATTGTATTTCAATGCGACGCGCCGGAGAGCCATACGAGCAATTTCAAAATAGGACTGAAGCCCCGCCTCCCTAGCCTTGGGCAGCCAAAGGAGCCGTCGATGACGTCACGGACAGCGACTGTCTTTCGCGTTTTTCTCGCGTTTAACAATACTTACGCAGCAAATGGTTTGGGTATTCGGGTTCACGGGGTAAAAATACACTAGAATTCACTTCTAACTCATTTTTTCCAAGAAGCTCCGTAGCTTCCCTTTAATTACACTGAAGAGAAAGAGAGAGATTGAAAATGGCGGTTCTAGCGAAGATTCCAGAGAAGCTATCTGCTTCTTTGTCGCGGTCCAGTCCTGCTTCTTACCTCGTTAATTGTCTTCTTTCTTCGTTGTATCAATATAATAAGTACTAGCATATGGGTCATAGTTGTTGCTGACAGGGTGTGTTTCTTGAATTCTAAAATTTAGTATATTTCCAACAACATACTCCTGACAAGAATCTCACATATCGCATGCTATGATCAAATATTCATCTGACGCATAAAAATCAAGTGTTTCCCTGCCTGCCCATTTTACCCTTTTCTAACAACATTCTGCGAGCCATAATTATTGTATATTCAAAATATTTATTAATCTTGAGGGATCGCGTTCATTAAACTTCCAGGCATTTACACTCCGAGCTAATGCCGATCATGATAAAAATAATAATATTCGAATTTTCTTCGTGCACACGTTGAGGGAGACCAAAAAGCTCTTGACGAGTTCAAGTTGGCCTTCGTCGTCTTGAGACGGGTTTCAGGACTAGGTTTAACAAGTATTTCGGCTACTGCACTAGAACTGAACCGCGTCCTTGTGGTTGCCGAGGAATCCAGCCAGAGGCTTCGTCTCCGTGGAACCATGACCGGTCGCATAATTGTACACCAGATGAAGGAGCATGTTTTCCAGGTTCGTCGTAATGCGCCTCCATGTTCACCGTGGGAGGACACCACCGTTACAATTTTCAAACTCAGCCCCAAAAAACCAGAGCCAAGACCGCCATCAACGTCAACGACTTGGCTTCCTTGGAGAAGGATTCCAAAAATCTCATCTTCTACACAGATGCTGCGCGTGAGCCCTACAGAGTCAACGCCGTTGTATTTTATTCACTTACGGAAAGATCGAAGAGAGAGCCAAATTACGCCTCTGACTCCCAGCCCCAAGACGGCAGAGCTCTTGGCCATCCGCGGCGCACTGCATTCTAAAATAAATCATAACGGCAAACAAGTTCACGTCTTTACATATTCCAAGGAGACGACACGGGAATGTTTAGCGATTGACCAGTCGCAATCGCATCGTTCACAAAATCAAGGCACTCGATAAGTTCCTAGGACCCCTTAGAAATCAGGTCAAATTCACAAGTATACCCGGCCATACCGATATCCCGAGGAACGAAAAGGCTGACGCGACCGCGAGGGGTTTGCAATGAGCAACCCCACCTTCACAAGGCCCCGTTCACCCTTCGGTCCCAACAAACAATTATTCCATCCCACCGGATACAGGAGAGCTCAAACAGGAAGCCAGGAGTCCCGAAAGGCTCACCTGGCTGCACTGCTGGCCTGCGATGACTCGCCCCTTCCGTCTTGGTACTTCAGATGGGAACGGAACTGCTTTCGCAGGTTAGAAACAAAATCGGCCATGACTCCTGTTTGGCTAACTAAATTCTACAAACCCAACTGCCCAGGGGACACGGGCCCTAGACTACTGTGCACACAATGTCGAGTGCCGGCCACATGTACCCACCTGACCTGGGACTGCTCGAAATTCCTTCTTATTCGAAATCTCCACCCTGGTACCGTTCCCCCGGAGTGCCGCCCTCGAAGTTACACCGAGTGGACAAGCCCCCCCCCCCCCCCCCCCCCCTCTCCGGCTCAAATGACTTTAGTCAAGAGAACCGGAGTGCATCGACTTTTCATGTACCTAAATAAACAATGTTACCAACACCATCATCCGTAGGGTTGGGGGGGGGGGGGGGGGGGGGGGGAGGGGGTTAAAGTTTCAAACGTTTAGTTTCAATATACAGAGCGAGGTCGAGAAAATAAAACCAGTGTTTTCGGCCCGCATATATAAACTACACATCGCAGAAAGCTGAAACTCCGCGAGTATGGGACGCTAGCGGCGGTGACAAAATGCGAAACTTTAATTAAGACTGCGAGTTGGGCGAGTTGGTTCAAATACGTAATGGGAAATAGGCAAAAAAAAAAAAAAACGAGGACAGACAAGATATGCCCACAAGACAGGGCGTAATTTTAAGCTCATACATAACATTATCTGGATAAAAAAAAAAAGAAGCTATGGCCCTATATCTATTAAATTGTAATTTGAGATTATGGGCATGTGTAGCATTTATGTCAGTACAAAAACTTGTCAGCAAGAAATAAATCAATATTGTCTTTCTAACTGACAAGTTTTTTCACTGAAATGCATGCTATAGGCGCCCACGATTTCAAATGTCGGTATACGCAAATTAGGCTAACGTGGATGTGGGCTCATAAATAATTTTTGTTTTTCTTTTGTAAATTTTGATTCAGCTAACGTCATATGTTCAAACTTTTGCATTTTATCACCACCACTAGCGTCACTTTCTCCACGGGGTTTCAGCTCTCTTCAATGCGTGGTTTATTTATGCGGGCCGAAACATCGGGTGTCATTTTATCGATCTCAAACCCTTGCTTTGACTTCATTACTTCTACCTAACGCAGGAATTGTCACAGTTTTTATTTCTGTTTTATTCTTAATAATCCCGAGAGACCTCAAGCTGCGTGCGCTCCTTGTTTTATGCCATCTTGATCATCGTGCTGCAGACTTGCAGTCGGACGCCAGCTATTTCAGCCTTGCACTTCAAAAACGTTGCGTGGGAGGCTCTGATTTTAGATATCTGACTTCTGCAAACCTTCAGTGGCGTTTTAAGAGAAGAATCGTCAAGTCTTACAGGAACAGTTTACGTGACCATGTTAAGTTTGTTCATGAAGTGTCGACGAAGCTGTGGATTACTATCCACGGAGAGAACTTCACCTCCTCGTTGGACTTCAAAGCCTGGTATCAACTGAAACACTACTCGTATCATCGTCTCTGGTCGTCGAAAAGAACCCAACTGCTAGAGGTTTTGCGGAGCAAAGGTACGGAATCTTCAGACCTTAGATCTACAGCTTCAACGTATACAGCCCCGATGGAACTTTCCTTTACGAACCGAATTTAAAAAGGAGTCAGATTTGTAATCCTTGTCATGTACCATTGCCTTCCTCGGTTTTCCGTGTATTAAAAAAGGCCTCAAGATTTAAATGTAAAACCCTCAGGAATAGACATGGCAGCTTATATTCATTAAGTGGCACACAAAATTTCCTCTAGTGATGAACGGTCAGCCTTTATTGATCTATCTGTGAAACGTTTGAATACCATTGTTGACAGTTCGTTTTGAACCAGTAGTCGAGATTTTAGAGATGTGCGTTGGGCGAGAAAGGAATTATGTAGCTCGGGGTTGGTTTGATGCAAACAGTAAATCGGGAAAATTTTGTGTCCTTCCGGGTTAGATGTTTAATAAAAAGGTGGATCATTCTGTCAATTCTTTTTTTTTTCAAGCTTTCGATGGCTCTGTAAAATTGTCCCGATTAGCGATCAAAAAAGTTCTCAAGGACTGTGATTTTTCCTCGGTAGTAAACCAGATCAGGAGTGCTCAGAGAAGTTTGTTCGTTTGTTTATGGACCATAAGGTAGACTTTCCTTTAAGAGTAGTTAATAATGAAGATAATCATGGCAAAAAGTAGTCTCACGGTTTATTCAAAAAGGCGTGATGTGCATCGATTGTTCTAGCCTGTTGTCGTTGAAAAATGCTGATCCGGTGATAACGAATATTCAACCTTACCATCGTAAGCCCGTTAATGTTTGTTCTCTAGATATCAAAGAGATGTATTATTTATTAGATCAGCGTATTCCCCTTCAGAGGTTAAAAAAACTTATGGAGGAAAACTTAGTGCATTTTCAATCCGCTTCAGGCATTGTTGTCGGTGGTTTTGTAAAACTTGTTAGCATTAATTAGGTTTTACAGTGAATATGGTTCAAGATAAGTCATTCTTGCAAAAAAGTGGAATTTGCATTGGTTCTCGGATAGCTCCTTTTTTTATCAGAGACCTATCTTCGTGTTATTTACAGTACAGTACTTCAGTAACTTGAAACGTATGCTGAGGGCCCTGTGATCGTT